CCTGGGAGAATGTTCCTTTAGCAGTAGTAGGGTTTATTGCAGAAGAGGTAGTGCTATTTGATATTTTGCATCAGTCCAACTTTATGTGTATCTTCTTTTCTGCCTGTTCCTGTGCTAGGCAGGCAAGATAACAAGAGGTAAAAATTTGAGGAGAAGATTTTAAAGCTGTATAATACTAGTGCTTAAGACTGCTCTGTCTTACTGGCTTTCCTGTTCATTCATGATATTGCATAGGAGAAAACACATGAGGATTTTTAAGTGAGGTCCTCAGCTGCCAAATCCCATCATCTGAAGAACAGAAATGGACACTCTAAGGCCAAAACATTGGGAGTGGAAGTTGCTCCAGGGTGTTCTCATCCTCCTGTAACAGCTTGAAGGCAGGAGAGGAACATGTGCTAGTCGAGCAAGAACGAGTATCGGTTGCAGAGGAGCTCAACAGGATGAAAACGGGTGTTGCTTTTTCCTCAACATGCTGGAGGAGATAATTCACTGGAGGGACAAATGTCTGTTCTCTGTCCTGTGACCTGAAGTCGGACAAAGAGCATGTGCAGGTGGTGCTAATGGCTATTTGTTGTTAGAAAAATAATGCCCTTTTTAACCCACTTTTTTTTAAGGGTGTTGGGTGTGTTGGTATTTTTGAGCAGCATCTTGTTTGTTTGTTGGTTTGTTTTTTCCTTAAAGCATTGGATGCGGTGTTGGCGGTTCCTAGATGAGCAGTAGATTTCCTGTTGGTGTTGGCAGCTTTGTTAGTCTCTTTATTTATGGATTTCTTCCTTTGCCTAGTCAAGCAAGTCAGAGGATATCTCTGGCTGCTTCTATGGCTCCTAATGATTTAATCTGTTTATGCAAATAAAACTTTGTGTTTCTGCTTTTACATTTGGGTTTATTACTGGTAATCCATAATGCTAGTCTGGATGCAGGGATCCTCTCTGAGAAATGGGGTAAGATTGGAGAGGGGAGCGAGGGAAATCGTAGCGGTTCTCTGTTCTAATTCCTTGAGTAAGACAAACCAGAGAACCCCACGTCCAGTCCAAAATTTCCTCTGAAACTTCTACAGGGTTCAGAAAGCTCCACCACAACCTTAGGCGAGATGTTCCTGTAGTTAATTATCCTTTGGGTTTAATAATAATTTTAAAGCTTTGTTTCTAGTTTGAACTTGTCAAACCTCAGTGGTCAGCTATGGCATCTCATCGTGTCTCTTTTTTATCCTAATTAGAGCCATCTGCTATCCAAAATCTTTCACATGTGCATAAGTATATATAGTATTACCATCTCACTTCTGAAATTCTTGGTTAAGTTAAGCAGGACAAGCTTTCTTGGAATTCAAGGCATGATTTTTAGACCTTGGATACTTCTGTAGTTATTTCTTGCGTTCGTCCCAAATTTCCACCTAAGAATGCCAGAAGGTGACATAGCCCATCACTAACAGTCTGGCAGGTGCTATGTACAGACATATTTTCAGCTCCCTTCATCTCTTTATATTTATCTCCCTTTGGAGGATTATTTACCGCTTAGCTGCAGACCTGCATGGAGCTGTCATAAAATGACTACCTACAGTGATTTCCGAATTTTCTTCAGTTTTTGCTCTCCTAAGGATAAGCAACCATCTCTATTCTTAGGTGAACCGTTCCATATGGCACCAGGAAGAAGCCCAAACAACTCGCCACTCCACGCATTTGTTGTATAACTTTTCCTTGATTATATTTGTTGTTTTTCACTAAAGAGGCTTGCTTATGCTTGTCATTTAACAAAAAGTCATTCTCATATGACTTCCAGTCATTCCTTACACCTTTATATAGAACAGTTGCCTCCTACTTAGTTTTCTTTCTATTCAGGGTGCGAAATTGTCCCTTTTAAAGCACTGTGTTATGTAGAACTGTTTTTTATCGACACATGGTGAATTCAATTAGTTTATAATCAACTGAACTTTAATTCTTGGTTTCTAATTGAAATCTAATACACTTTTACCCTTGCCTAACTACTGTGGGGGTTTTTTCCCTAAGGAGTTCATCACTTATATTTTTCAGAAACTTAAAGATATTTTGTTGAGGAAAATACTGGTATGTGTTCCCTTCCTGGAGTCTTTCCTCTCACGTCATATTTGTGTTTGAAAGGGCTCTTCATCACATTCCTTTCTGATTGAGGGCTTGACCGCAGATCTGTATTGATACCGAGACTGTAATGTGTCTGTTAATACATCGACCCATATCTACGCTAGATGAAACGAGCAGTCACTTTAAAGAAGATAGTGGTGTCTTTATTATACCGCACAACTTGCCAGTCTCTTCCGTCTGTCCCAGCGCTTTTTAACGTCGAAGTCATTTGAAAAATTCTAGTAGGCTTCAGAAATTGTATTGAATCGCACTTATTATCAGAAGTGAATTTTTCTCGCTCTGTTCATTATCCAGGTTTCCACTGTTGGCATATAAACAACTGGTTTGTTTTCTTTGCATCTCTTTACATTTTCATGTTTTAGTTTTGAATCTTATATTCAGGTAAAGTTATCGTATCATAACTTCTGAGTGTCCTCCCTAATAAGTACTAGTTGAAAGCCCTGCAGAGGAATCTAGTTCATTGCTATCCAAAATGTTGGGCAGTCCCACTATGGAGAGAGAAACTCCGAGGTTTATGGACTTCAATTTGTGGAGTGGGACAAATATATCAGTTAACTAGCTAGTGTTTAATGTCGGGTATCTTCTGCAATCTCTTTCTCTCATTTGGCCATCAGGAAGGGTTCCCGAGCAGACTGTCTCTCTCCTGTTTTCAGGGAGCTTTAATAACCGAATAAATTTTACTGAACGTGGCCTAGGCCTACTATGGCATTGTGTTCTGTGACAATCTTATAGTCTCAAAACTTTATAGTCTTTATAGTCTGAAACTGCGCCAGGGGAAGGTCAGGCTAGAGATGAGGAGGCATTTCTTCCCAGAAAGGGTCGTTACGCGTTGGAATGGGCTGCCCAGGGAGGTGGTGGAGTCCCCATCCCTGGAGGGGTTTAAGAAAAGCCTGGAGGTGGCACTGAGTGCCATGGTCTGGTTGACATGGGGGTGTTAGGGCAAAGGTTGGACTCCATAATCCCAGAGGCCTCTTCCAACCAAATCGATTGTGTCAAACTGGGTATCCCTTCCTTGGTTTTTACCGACGAAAACAGCCTCCTTTATTGCCATCGCTTCATTCTCCAACTGAATAGGCAGTTGCCTTGTCTGAAAGTGAACGTACAATTCTCTTCTGCTGTTCAGGATCAGTAGGTGCCCATCCAAAGGCTTATATATTTTTTTATTTATATTTTCTATTTTCCTAGCAAACCATTGACTCTTCACTCCGGGGGAAACCTGTCTTTGGACAGGAGGCAGAAGGTGGTACGGCCTTTGCAGCGGCTTTTTTTTTACTGTTGGCTGGCGGCGGTGGCTATAGGGAGCTGTACCTTTAGAAAGAAATTCTGCGTTCCCTCTTGCAAAATGGCTCAAAAATTGTCTCTGCCATCGGGTTTACCTCCTTGCTAATATAATTGCAGCAAGGACAGCTATTCTAAGTGTAAGTGAAGTCAGTCTGGATACCATTCAATGATTCATGTCCTAGAAAAACATGGTTTTCCTGTTTCTATAGTAGAGACATTGTTTCTGGCTGTCTGCTTAGAGCAGTGGCTTAGTGTTTGGGAAATGCCTGCAACTGAGGGCATCTGCCTCTTTTTTTTTTTTTCCTTCTTTTTCTTTTTTTTTACTATCTAGATTTCCTACAAGCAAACAAAAAAATCCCAAACAGAAAAAACCCCCAAGCCTGAAACTTTATTCTCATATTTCTAGGCTAGAGATTAGGATATAGTTGCATACCTATAATAATAATAATGGCAATAAACAAACCAACTGAACACCGAATCACAGTTCAAAGGGAGTAATAAATCAATAACTTACCCAGTCTCTTTGCATGTGAAACATTAATTAGCATGTTTTCTTGAGAGTTTTATTTAACATGTATATGACTTCCTGAAAGTATACCAAAATATTATTCAAAACGAAGGTAATAAATACAGAGGTAGTACACAAAAAAAAAACAGAAGAGAAACTTGTTTACTTTATAAATCGGTTTTCACATGTCAAAAATCACTCAAAGCACTTGGAAATCTGAAATTATTCCAGCCCTGTGGAAATAAATTGGTCATAAGTGATCTGCAAGATTAAAATGTTTCAGGCATACCTTAAAAAAAAAAAAAAAGGCAAATGCAAAACAAACAAACAAAAAACCCAAACCCACCTAAACCCACTAACACGATCAAAACTCCATAATCTCCAAGTTCCTCATGTGCTTCTTGTCCTGCCGTCTGCTCTCCCCAGGGTTTATCATCCTGTGCTATCAAGTGGGGCATCAGTCAAAGCAGTGGTGATTGTTTCTAGGTCAGACAGTAACACACTGGGAAGAGTAGTGTTATAAGAGGCACAGAAATAGTATTTTACTTTTACAGTAGGAAAGTACTGACTTGCTACAAGTTACTGCATTAACTTCACGCCACAGACTCATTTCACTGAACTGCTGGTAGTGACGTGCCGGTTTTACAGCTGGTACGGTAATCCATCTCAGATTTGTTTGAAAAGAAGAGAAAGGGAAAGGGGAATTTTAGGTTACACATTTCCAAAGGTGGTAGGGGAAGGGACTGAGCTGTCCTGGTAGTTACCCTCCCTGTTCCATTATCTTCATGGCTTATTATACACGAGGCACTTAACGTATTTGCACCATTTTTAAATGGTATTATAATAGTTCAAACTGCAAAACCAGCCTAATCTGCTCTGTTTTTATTAGCATCATACTTTAGCATCTGAGCAAGGACATGTGCTTTTGTAAAGTTAAACTGGTTTTTAACAAAAAAGTTACCCTTGAAGACTTTTCGTACCACTCTGATTATGTCTGATTAAAACAAAGGCAGGCAACTAGTAAAAAAGCATTGACAGGGAAGGGAGCCATGCGTTTAAGAGAAAAATGTATACATACACACATTGAGATCTTGTAGATCACACGATTTAAATGTTACAAGACTTTTAACAATAGTGTGGTGCAAGTGAAGTTGTCCTGTGGGCTGATGGTGACTAAAGCCTTTGTTTTCTATCCTTCCTAGAAATTAAGAAGCCACCAGTGGCCCCCAAACCAAAATTTGTGGTAGGACACAAGGCAACACCTCCACCTGTTGCACCGAAGCCCGATGTTGTACTTTCTGGTGTTATACAAGCAGCAAGGAAAACCAAGCCAGCAATTGCACCGAAACCAAAGGTTCTCAAGAGCTCATCCGTTCCAGAAGTTAAGCCTCCATCGTCTACACGAAAAAGCACAAAAAGCTTTGAGGAGCACAGGGGAGATTCTTCTCAAACGCTAGACCACTTGAACTATAAAAATGAAGCCTCGGAAGGGAGTATTGGTAACACAGCATATATTCTACCAATGTCGTCTTGCAAGTTTGGATGCCTTCATAAGCTTGGAAATGGGGAGAACACCTGTAAAACTCAGATAATTTTTGAGCACTTTGAAAACTTGGAGAACATCAAAGTCGGTGACAAAAACACACTAGCTCTGGGGGACAGTCACAATGAAAAACTGGCAAATAGAAATCAGGTGGTTTTGAAAGCCAGCATTTTGGAAGAGAAACTTAAGGACGTTCTAACTCATAGTGTGTTTCCTAACAGCAGTCCTGTGAGGCACAGGTATGCAGACAAACTTGACAAAGGGGATGGCAGCAATTCCAAGAACGACGTTAAAATAGAGTTTATGGAGCTTGTGCAGTCGTCTTCGTCGTCTGAGGTAGCCAAAGGGAAGCAACAAAATACTGACGGTAAGCTCACTGCTGATGAATTTCAGATGTCTGAAATTTGTCCTAGTTTGACTGCAAATAACCACAGTTGCTCTTGCCCATTGGACCAGGAAATCCTGGAAAATGAAAATTTAAGTAGCAATAGCACATTTTCGGGTGAAATAAGTATGAAAGCAGATGCTGATAAAGCCTCCGCTGAAACATCTTCGGTCCTGAGCTCAAAAGTGCTTCCTATCCCTAAGCCAAGAAAGCCGCGTGCTGCATGTCTAGTCCGTCAGGATGGCATAGACGCCACAGGAGAAGGAACAAAGGAACCATCTAATTCAGAGAAAGATTCCTTTGGGCTTGTGGACCAAAGCTTTAAAAAGCCAGCAAAAATTAATATCCTTGGTCAAAGTGTTTGTTACAACCATAATACAGAAGTGCTTCATCCTGAAAAATGTGAGATAACTCAAAGCAATGCAGACAAAATGCATCAGGTGAAGGAACCTGCAACAGAAGAGTCAACTTCACAAAACCTTTTGCCTCACTTGTCACACAAAACTTCTGATTTGGTGGAACGTGTTGAATGTTCTTTAGATGCAGACCATAACTTAGTTAACTCCATGGATGAGATGACAGATGATGCCAGCATGCTAGATGCTGTGGACAAAAGGACTAACTTTGTCAGGTGTGATGCTTTGTCCATGAGTTTGCCAAAGCAACTCAAATTAACTAGCAGTCAGCACTCATCTGCTTCCAATAGCCTCCATGTTTCCCCACAAAAATTGGAAGATAAAGAAGGTAAAATAAAGGATGAAAGTTCTCCAAAAGTCATTCCTAAGAAACCACAGAGGCACAGCCTTCCAGCTGCTGGCCTGCTGAAAAAAGCTGCATCAGCAGAGCTTGTGGAGAAAAGTTCTTACACCTCCAGTGAGGACAAGTCGAACAGTGTTACGGAAGGATCTCACTTCACACATCCACCAGCCAAGGGGCAAGGTGCATTGTCATCCTGTGACATACCCAAACGTTCTTCTGAGAAACCCGTCTGGAAGTTACCTCATCCTATTCTTCCATTTTCAGGAAATTCTGAATCATTAAAAACTGCTAACGTTGCTACCAGCTTCAACCACTTGACTGTTGTGACAAAGCCTAGGGCTAAATCTCTCTCTTCTGTGGACATGGAAAGGACAGACAAGCCTTGCAAAGACCATCAGAAGAAAAACAGCTTGAAAAAGTTTCTCAACATGAAACTGTCGGTTTGCTTAATGAAAAGCGACTTCCAAAAATTTCTGTCTAAAGGCAGCCAGTCAATGGATAGTGCTATTGCCAACCTTTCCACCGGGGAGGGGTATGGAAGTGGTAACAACCGGAATACAGCATCTGTAGGCAATGAAAGGAAAGCCAAATCTGCCAAGGTGCATTCTGTAGAAATAAGTAGTCCGGCCTTACAGAAGAAGAGGCAGAGAAACAGAAGTCAGCCTGAGATGCGAAATAACCAAAGGCTGGAGTCTTTAGATGGGCATGTACTTTCGGGAGAGTGTTTGTCAGAAATGCATTTGAATTCTGTAACCAGCACTCGTGCTCCAGAGTACGAGAACGTGCGTCACTACGAGGAAATACCCGAGTATGAGAACTTGCCTTTTGCTATGGGTGCTGGGAGAAATCTCTGTTTTGAATGGCAGAACTCCAGCAGCGTGGAAGACCAGAGCCCTGGCTTCTATGAGGCTGAGGAGCCTTGTGAGGCTACAAGCAGGCGTTTGAGACTTGGCAGGTAAAATAAAAAGAAAAGGGAAGTTAAACAGCTCTATTGTAACTCTATTGGTTGTAAACATGTTTAGATGATGACTTGAGAGGCTGCACCCCTTTCGTTAAACGTCAGCAGGACAATTGTTGCTGTATCTCTTTCTATATGCTGTTTTGAAAACTGTTTGCGCTTGGTAAAGAGTCAAGAGGAAAAGTAAGCTAGTTATTCCTCATATATGATCAAAATTTGGGAAACTAACATATGTGCTTTTCCAGATTTAATTAAAGCAAATCAGATACAGTCATGTATTTGTATCCAAGAATACTTAAATAGGGAGGAATGAACCTTACTCCAGTCTCAGGATGAACTTGAATAAGTGTCCACAGAGTGCATCGTTGCTAGGTTTGTAGGGGGAATGAATGTATTTTTAGATCAGCTGATAGTGCTGGGAAAAGCAGACAAGGTTTTGGATATGCAAATTCTTCATCAGGTCTTGAAAGCTTTTCGGGTATAACAAAAGATACTGCCTCTGCCTGAGTGTAGGGAGTCTTCTGCATCTCCCTGTGCTCCCAGCAAAGGTAGTAACGGTGCACGAGTTCTGCGTGACTCACCCACAATATTACTGAAAAGATGGGGTTTGGTGACTCTGCGGGTTGCTGTATTTTGTTGTTGCAGGAGGTGGTGGAGACAGATAATATCAGCAGATTCAAAAAGGGATTGGACAGATTCATAAACCTGTCCAAAAGAGATGCTTAATGGAATAGGCAGAAACAGATCTTTTAATATCTGTGATGCTGTGACTGTGGATGCTGGGAAGAGGAATGGACCACAAAGAGTGGCCAGGCTTGTATGTTCTCCCTAAATAGCATGTCTTACGGGGTCGGTCAGAGTGTCTTAACAGGGGAAGCATTGTTTTGACCCAATATGGTGTCATTTAACTTCGTAACTTCAGCTAATCAGTTGGTCTTACAGATCCTAAAGGTTTATCTCAAACCAGCAATAAGGATTTGAATGAAATATGCAACCTGTATTTTTAATAGTCCCCAGCAAACTTCTTTGCACTATTGAGACTATATGCATAATGACAAGAAGAAATGAGCTAGCTTATAGACAGTCACGTTTAACTTCATTTTTCACTGGGAGTTGCTAAGCTTCATTTCATTTGGGGGGTGTGTGTGTAGCAAAACACATGCTCCAAAGAACCTGAGAGCTGGCTATTCTTTAGGGGAGCGTGTCCTCTTCTATAGGAGGAGACAAGTATTTTAAGTGGCATCCTGCGTTAATAATTGTTATAGAGTTGGTATTCTCAACACTGGACTGTTTGATGGAAAGCATGAGGCCTTATTGTGGGAAGTAGAATTTCTGGTTATGGGCTTGGTATTGGTATATTTATTCATGTGGTGGTTGAGTATTTTTCTTGTTTACAGTAGGGTGTTTCTTGGTTTTGTCTTTGGTATACTTTTAAGTTCCTGACTGAGGGTATGCTTTTTGTTTAAATCTAGTCTTTGGGTATCTTTCAAGGGTTTCAACCACACTCTCTTTGTATTACCTTGATTTGGTTTACCTGCAAACTTAAATAAGGATGTATGTTATGTGTTTGCGATCTGTTTCGGTTTGCGTTGTGGTTCTGGGTGCAGGTGAATGTCTTTGCTTTAGGAAAAGACAAGAACAGTTTTGCTGTACGCACCATGGTAGACACAGGACTGCAGTTGCTCCTTGAGTGAAATTCCATAGTTTTCTTACCTGGCTGAGTGTGTGGGATTTATAGTTATTCCCTCTCCACACAAACCTTCCCTATTACCAATGGTGATTTAAGAGTTTAAGTGATCTCTTGCACCCTGGAACATCTGTACCTGTAGCTGCTCCTTAAGCTGCATCTCCTTGACATAACTTGGTTTGTGTTGTATTTTTCTTTAAAAAGCACACGTAAAAAACTGTAACCAGAGCCATTTAGAAAAGTGTTTAAAATAAACTAAATTACATAGTCAGAAAGTACGTTAGGAAACAATTAATGCAGGCAGGTACTTCAGTAGATCTTGGGGAACAAAGAAATCCCTAGGGGAAAAAAGGGGACACAACGGGGCAGTGGTCTCCTGACCGGGATCAGCTGCTGCTGGAAGAGCAGGTACAGGTATTCGTTTTGGTTCTGGCTTGGGAGGGGTAAGGGTCCTTGCCCGGACGGAGCCGGGCAGGCAGCTTCTCCAGTTTTCCCATCCGTTGTTACCTCAAATCCTTTGAAGCTTCTTTATCAATGTCATTTTACCTTTTCTGCATAGTTCTTTAAGAGCCTTTTATCGTTTCCTGGGCCAGGTGTATTATAAAACCAGTTAGAGAAACAGTGCTGATGTTATTGAAATAATTACCGCTTGTGTTTTCCCCAACCTGTCAGAACACGCACTTAGCTCTTTTTCATAGATCGTGGCACATAAAACTCCTGTAATGCACTGCTAGTGGGGATCTCAAAGCGAATTATCTTAAATTAAAACCACCATACAAATGAGATTGTTCTGAGAAATGCATAGACTGATTGCCCACACTTCTAGTCATAGGAGCACATATGCAGTATATTAAGTCTGAACGCCAGGCTTGCCATTACCAGAAGGGCTTGGTGATATCTTTACCCTATGTTACATTTCTTTCTGGAGGAAGAAATGAAATTTTCATAATGTACCCACTGCTTCAGTGGTTACTGAGAAATTTCCTCCCGATGCCATCTGGTGAAACCGGTATGCTTTAATGGAGAATGGTAATAGCTTCTGACACTCTTTATCCTGACTTCATCTCTCTTATTAAATTCAGATACGTTTTGTTTGCTTGGGCTTTCCCACAAGGATTTCAATGCAAATGTTGGGCCTGGGAAATTAATGGTGGGTATCGGTTGTCACTTACCACTTGATTTTTGAGTTATTTGATGTCAGCCTCCCAGGCGCTGGTGATGGGAGACTGATGGGTTTTGCTTGTGTTAAGTAGTTCAGGGGAATATTCTCAATAAAGAAAGTAGTGACAGTACCTTGGGAGCAGATAATCCATGTTTTATTTCCACTATAGAAAAAAAAAGTATCTTAAAACGTTTTTTAAGGATTATTTATTTTGTCCTAGCCTACCTGTTTGACTACCGATTTAAAATGGATAATTAAGATGAATGTGTTATTATGAGGACTCTGTAAACAAAGTGAGTAAAGAATAGATGCTGTGGCATAGAAAATGTACTGTTAAATGTTAAAGAAGTTTTAAATATCATTATCCAGTTGCAGATAACAACAGGGAAAGCAGCTCTTTGGGTTTGTTCTTGTGAGAAATGAATGATTCAGGCCTGAAAAGTGAAGCGAAAAGTCAGTGCTGCTGGTACCGCCACATTTCATTTTAATGTTGTCAGAGACCAGTAGTTGTAACGGCTCTGTTTTGAAATAACACCATTTTTTAAAAAACCTCCTCATGAAAGAGAAATATTTATGCGTTGGTTATCCTCTTTTTAGTGATAAACCTTTATTCTGAGGAGGACAGCAAAATCTTCCTTAAAACTAAAACTAAAATTGAGGGTACGTTTGTCCAGTAATCTAAAGATGCAGAGGAACAATGAACGTGCCTTGGAACATCTGTTGTGCTGCAGAAAACAGAAATTTGAACTTTTCTGGATCTTGTGGACTTCCTTTTGGTATTTGTTACATTGCTCTAGGCAAGGGAATTGTACTTCAGGTTGAGCGAGTCTGCTCCTTCACCCTTCAGGGAATAGCGTACTGTACTTACTGGCTACTTTTGGCAGCGTTCCTTCAAGATGTTGCAAATGTACATGACTGCTAATTGATTTTGACAAAATTTATAGCTGGGTCATTGTGTTTCTGGCTAGGATTTTTCTTTGGGAAGGGCTGGGGGGGATACCATGTGACAACAATCCTTTGAGATCTTAATGTTGGTCTAATTAAATACTGCTTCCTATTTTTCCCACCCCTGCTGATTTAGAATAATCCATTGATTTTCCAGAAATGAGCATCTCAATGCAAAATGTAAACTTAGTTTTCTGGACTAAATTCTGCTTTGGTGACTTGAGTCCCCAGAGGTCAATTAAGTGTTCATGAAAGCCTTCCTGGAATATTGAATTTAGTATTGAAATCTGTGTGGTTAAGCACTTTGCTTTGATATGCGTTCCTCTTTGATGTACTGAGCTTTGTTGGGGTTGAGACGTGTCTGATGAGCAGCATTGCACCAGATAAATGTGGTGGTGTTTAGGGATTGGGTGTGTTAGGGAAGGGTGTGTGGTTTTTTGTTTTGTTTTTTTCAGTTGCAAAATTCCCATTCAAAAGCCCTTCCAGAGAAACAGTAAATTATTAAAATAACTGCAGCGTCTAAGGAGCATTTAAAAAACACTTATGCTGAGATTTGAATGCATGAAATAAATTTTAGGTATTGAAGGTGTTATATTTATACATTAAAAACCACATTTTCTTTTTACTGAACTTTATTGAATGGTATCATTTCTTGGTACGTAGAGGCCAGGTATATGGATTTTTTTGGATTTCAGCTGCTGCTTAGAGATAATAAAATTAGTTTCTGATCTGAAGAAGGCAGGTTCCTTTTCCTCCATCAGCTCTGCAGTCTTCTCCTGTCTTCCAGTCTCCCACCGCGTGCTTCTAACTGGCTTCTGCCACCCTCAGTCGTACGTTAAATGCTTCCTCTGCAATTGTACCTCAGGTTTTAGTGGAACAGCTTTGTTCATATGCTATTTAGGTTTCCGATCAGGCTTCGTTATCTTTGCTCACTTGTTATCATTGGCTTTCTTTTTGTATTCTGCTTCCTTGAGCCTGCCTTTTTCTCTTCCCCTCCCTACCTTGCCTTCTCACGTACGTGTTACGCAGCTGGTAGGCTTGTGCCAACTCCAGTAAAGAGTGAGTCAGACGGCTCCCATCTCCGCTTCCCGTCCCCCGCCAGGCTGAAGGCAAAGCCAATCTGGCAGTCCCAGCTCTGGCACTTGGGAGCGAGGAACGGACAAAGGAATTTTTGGCTACCGTACATAAGGAATATGCCGTCTTGCTG